AAAACATTTATAAATTTTTTATATTGAAGTTGTTTATTGCTTATACTAAAGTGATTACTTTTTCTATGGGAGTTGTTTGTATGCATAGCTTCACTTGATTTTATTTTTATTGTTGTTATTATGATAATAAGAGTTGCAAATTTTCCATACTCAAGCCATTCATTTTATATACTGAAATGGTTAATTTTCTTACAATAACTGTAAGTGTGCATAGCTTCACTTATTTTTATTTAAACTGCTATTATCATGGTAAATGAAGTTGTAAATTCCTTGCATCGAAGTTTTTTATTTTTTTACAAAAGTTGTTCTTGTATTTACATTGACTTGTTTATAGCTCTACCTTCACTTATTAATATTTAGAGTTAGTTTTTTCTTGTAAAATGCAGTTGCAAATGAACCCTAAATGAGTTGTTCATTCATTGTTCATTTATACAATCAAACTTGTTGATTTGTCTGGCTGCCTAAAAATCTAATGCATACAACTAGCAACGAAGGTATTGTATGTAACGATTGCAGAGCACAAAATGATTCATCTCTATCCAACACCAATAGTGCTCAACTCCATTATTAACGGCCAGCTAGACCACACAATCCTTGCTCTTCCTCACATTGTCCACATCAGCACTGACGGCGCCACTCCTCCTTGCTCTGTCCTTCGTGCCATGTCTGAATAGGGGATTCCAAGTCATCCCACACTTCCGGCCTCTACGAAACTTTCGACCTGCTTACCTTCTGAACCTGGGAACTCAAGTGGGGCTCCCTCCCACTAGATGCCTGAGCGCCACATGTGTTTTGCAGTTAACTGAAGAAATTTTTTAAAAATTTAAAAGAAGGTTAATTTTTTTATTTCCCTCAAACATTTTAGTTTCATTTCACTTCCCTTGAGCAGTGAAGTTGTAGACTTTAATGGATTTTCTTTTTAATTATGTTTGGTCAAGGGTTTGGACTGAAATTGTTCCTACATTTTAATTTGATGTGTTGTGATGATCAAGGGCAAGAATATAATATATATTTGCAGTGAATCAATCTGCCAAGAGATCCGACAAATTTCGGTGTATTATTTAGTAACACTACTAAGTCTAGATAGATCTTCAAATACCACTGCATCTGATTTGTGGAAAACAGATTTTGGCATCTAATTAAATATATTATGTTCCTCCAATAAAGGTTCGCAATTGCATGTGGTCAGCCTCTACCAAAGAAACTTTTTTGTGGAAAAGTAATTATGCTTCCTCACACATATGCCCATATATACATGTTGTGAAGATCATGTCAGTTGTAGAATATAATCCTTGGAATACCCTTTTCTTACTTGGTGACTAGGTTAGATTGGTGTGATTTAGCTGTCTATTTTCTCTAAGAACACACTCAGTATTGGATGTCTGGCTTGATAGAATGTGTGCGTGTGCGTGTACGCGCATGCTTTGAATTTAGATGAAAAGAGTTGGGCTTTAGCGTCTGTCTTATTATTCTTGTTTATATATAGATATATATATATATATATATATATGGAAGCCATCAGCATGCGATATTGTCTTTGAGGGGGTTGTACTGAACATTTTCTAGTCTCACTTGGAATTGCTATATACAATGTCTGCAAAGAGCCAAGATCAAGTATTGCATGGTTATATGTAGGCTATAGCTCGCCTTTTTTGGCTTTTTCTTGGCTTCATGGCCCTTAGAGACCGAACTATTTAGGTTATAGAGTCCATAGTGTGTCTCACTAGGAAAATGAATTTGTTCTTTATGTTTAGTTATATCTTCATATTGAATGTAGTTAATTTTTTGTTTCAATTTCCCTCTCCCCTTTCATTAATTCCTTAGTTCCAACCCTGACGGCACTGCTTTAGCTGGGATTGAGGTGGCATCAAATAGCTATATTACTATCTCCGTTTTTATTCACGGGACAAGATTATCTAATAATTCTCACATATACAAATTATTGACTTATTTCATTTTTCCAATTCTACCCTTATTTTTATGTCCACTTTATTTGGAAACATTTTATGGAGAATGTTGCGCTCATAGCAAGTCATTTTATACATTCAATAGGGGCATATTGAGAAAAAAATACACTTATTAAACACTTCATTTGATCTTATTCATGAGTCATTACTTTCAACATGTTTAATAACTAGGACCAAAGGAAATTAAATCTTGAAACTTATTAATTTATCTAAAAATTTAATAAGTTTACAACTTTGTTCTTATTAATTAAATTAAAGCAACATCTAATGGGGATAAAATTAAAGGAGAAACTTATAATAAAAAATTTAACGGTGTAACTTATAAATATGATCAAAATTTTTTTTTTTTACCTTATAAATAGGAATTGAATATATGGAGTGCTTGTCAAATTTTACAGTTTACAGTTTTAAACACATTACCCTCCAAATTTCTGCACGTACGGATGGAGTAATTTACAACTATATACTAGTTAATAGGGCAGTTTTAACTGTGAGTAAGATATAAATTAATGTGACCTAGACTCACCCATTCTTTACAAGGCTGTAAACTTACATGGATATCTAGGATGTCTAGCACCTGATTGGCTTGCTTGGAACTTTGAGAGGAGGATGAGTTTTAGTTCTTGGAATATTATTTTTTGTGCATAGTGCTGCCTCTAAACTCCATGTTTCTCATTCTTCGCTTTCTTTTCCTTTCTCCTTTTGAGAGGGGAAAATGTCAAGAACCTGTGCTTTCTAAGTCGACGATCAGATATGAACGTCCTCTTTTCATGTTTTAATTTGCCGTCTTTTAATATTCAACAGTACGTGTATATTCTTCCAGATACTCTTTTTAAAGGCCGCATGTCTGAAAAAAGTTGTTCATTGAGAAGTTTGCAGCTTGTTGGTGACACTGTTTTAGGAAGGATATCACGTTTTCACACCACCATTTCTTTTCCTTTCCTTTCTTGCTTTTTTTTAGCGAAATTATAGACTTGCATTAACGCTGGTTTTTCCCCCCTTTTGGTAAGCAGAATAAATCCATTCGTATTTTAAGGTGTATCAATAATAACATTATTCAATATGTTTATATTTGAACAACTTGACCTATTAACTATAGTAAAAGTCTTGTTCGATTATTATTTTGCATTTGTTTTCTATTTTTATTATTCAATATTATCTCGCCTTCCTAAATAGAATGTCTCATAAGGCCTTTTTATTATTATTTCAATCACAATTTTGCCAATCTCACCGAGATTAATATGAAAATTTTAAAATGATCGCTTATGGAAACTGGATTAATCACAATCCAATATTTATATTAAGCACATGTGAAGATTAATTATGAATTTTCCCTTGTCTGGTAAAACTATTTTCCGTGATGAAATTTTTGGCTGATTTTCTAAGAAATATATGTAAGTGGATATTTCAAAGAAAATACAAGCGTTGAAAACGTTATGGTTAAGATTCTTCCAAAGTGTATCTTTTTTGACTTTCCATTGCAGTTCTGGAAACATAATTAATAATAATAGAGAAGCTTCAACTGTACATATTGAATTTTTCTGGGTTTAGCAGCCCGCGAATATGAGAAAGTCGCGTCAGTGACCGAGTCTCATAGTTCAATTCCAACCACCCGCCACGCTTCAATCCCTATGAATAACCCTTCTTCCTCTTGGTCTGTCATGCTCCATTCATTTCAAATTATATAACACTTTTAAAAAAAATTTATCATTTTAAAATATAAAATATTTTTAAAAAATAAATATTTTATTAAATAAATTTATTGTAATATTACTTTTTTTCTCTTTTTGTTTAATATAATTAAGTATAGATTTAAGACTATTCGATAAAAGATATTTTTAAAAGTTTATATTTTTTTTGAAAAAATAAAATTATTAAATATATTTAATGAGTTTATTGATGTATAAGATTTTTATCTAAAAATATCTTATAATTTGAGAGGAAGAGAGTATTATTTAAATCCTCTATTATATTTAAATCCTCTATTATAATTTAATTTAAGAAGATGCTTGATTTACTTAGTATTTTAAATATCTAGGAAATTTTCATAAATTTACTTTCATGTATCTATTGTGCTAATTGAATTTGCTGATTTCATTTAAATTGTTTATCACCCATGCAAGGCACGAGATTTAAATCTAGTTTTTACATTAGCTTTTGACTAAAGTGGATGTCTAGGATGCCTAACACATGATTGGCTTGCCTGATATTAACTTCGACAGCAGGATGATGAGTTGAAGCTTGACACAAGCTTCTTCATGTTTCAAGTTTCATGTTTTGTCTTCTTTCAATATTCAACACGTTTATATTTGTTGAGATATATATATATATATATATATATTCTTTTTCAAGAATGCATACCTGAGTACACTGTTTAATTAAGAAATTTGTGGCCCCTTGATGACACTGTTTTGCGATCATCTCTCACGTCAAGAGTTCGTCTTGGCAGCAAGAAAGGATATTGCGTTTCCACACCACTATAAGCAGAATAAATCCATTCATAGTTCAACGTATCAATATTATTCAATAGGATATATTTATATATATTTGATTAACTTGACTAAATATATAGTATATGTTTTGCCCGTTAATTATTTTGCATTGATTTTCTTTTCTTAGTATTCAAAATTTTAAAATGATCGCTTGCGGAAGTCAGATTAATCATATTTTCCAAAAGTTACATTGAGCGCACATGTAGAGATTAATTATGAATTTGCCTCTCGTCCGGCTATAGATATTTTCGGTAATTAAAATTTTGGCCCATTTTCTAAGAAATATTTATCAGTGGATGGTTCCAAGAAAATACTAGCGTTGACAATATTATGGTTAAATTCGTCCCAAACATATCTTTTTTTGACTTCCCATCGTAGTTCTGGAAACATAATTAATAATAATAGGGAAGCTTCAACTGTATTGAATTTGTCTGAGTTCAGCAGCCCGCGGGAACGAGAAGGTCGCGTCAGTGACCTCGTCCCATTTCATAGTTCAATTCAACCGCCACACTTCAAACCCTATAAATGACCCCTTCTTCCTCCTTCTCTTTCATATTACTCGACCTCTCTGTTTTCTGTTTATTACTGTCTCAGTTTCGTCTATTTCCTTTATGGCTTCTCTCACTTCTCCATGGCTTCTGGGTTTGGCTACTCTCGTTTTAGCCTCCCTCCTTCTCCGCCTTCTCAAGCTCTTCCGCCGTCCTTCTCTCCCTCTTCCTCCTGGGCCCACCCCCTGGCCTCTCGTCGGAAACTTGCCCCACTTGGGCCCCGTGCCCCACCATGCTTTGGCCCATCTGGCCCGCACTTACGGTCCTCTCATGCACCTTCGGCTCGGCTTCGTCGACGTCGTGGTGGTCGCTTCCGCTTCTGTCGCCGAGCAGATCCTCAAGGTTCACGACGCCAACTTCTCCAGCCGGCCGCCCAATGCCGGAGCCAAGTACATGGCCTATAACTATCAAGACCTTGTCTTCGCTCCCTATGGCCCACGGTGGCGCAAGCTCCGCAAAATCTCCGCCGTTCATCTGTTCTCCGGCAAGGCATTGGATGATTTGAGATATCTCCGACAGGTTTGTAGTTTCTTTCACTTCATAGCCTTCGTAATTCCATGCGCCTGTGAGTAAAGGGATGCAAAACACTTCTTACACTTTTTATCTTTACATTAAACAAGTGTGCAAAAGTTTTACAGCCAGTCAAAAAAATCTTAAACTACATATACACATATATCAGTCCGCAAAAAACTATATATATATATATATATATACATATTTGAATTGAATCGTTGATGATGCCCAAGTCACGAAAAACAAGAGTTTTGCAAGTTGTCATCATGGTAATCCATATGACTTTTATCAATTGATCCATTAAATGAATGCCAATTGCAGGAAGAGGTTGGAAGATTAACGCGTAATCTGGCGAGTGCCGGCTCACGAGTGGTGAACTTGGGACAATTGTTGAATGTGTGCACCACCAACGCACTGGGGCGGGCAGTATTAGGACGGCGCGTCTTCAACGACGGTGCAGCGGGGTGTGATCCTCGGGCGGACGAGTTCAAGTCCATGGTGGTGGAGATGATGGTGCTGGCCGGAGTTTTCAACATCGGCGACTTCATCCCGGCGTTGGAATGGCTTGACCTTCAAGGAGTTCAGCTCAAGATGAAGAAACTGCACAAAAGGTTCGACGCCTTCTTGACCAACATCATCGAAGAACACAATGTTTCCAAGAGTGAGCACCGCAAGGACTTGTTGAGTGCCTTGCTGTCTCTCAAGGAGGTTCAAGATGATGAAGGAACCAGGCTCACTGACGTCGAGATCAAAGCATTGCTTTTGGTAATCTTCACTATCTAATACATATATACAGATATATGCATTCATCCCGCTTCCTAGTTTTGCCAACTGCTTGTTTAGCTGAACATGATTGATAACGGATCGCAGAACATGTTTGCGGCGGGGACTGACACGTCATCGAGCACCACAGAGTGGGCCATGGCGGAGATGATCCGAAACCCAACCGTGCTGGCCCGAGTCCAGCAGGAATTGGACTCCGTAGTGGGCCATCACAGAGTGGTGAATGAATTGGACCTGCCCAACCTGCCATACCTGCAGGCCTTTATAAAGGAAACATTCCGTCTTCATCCATCCACCCCTCTCTCCCTCCCAAGAGTCGCGGCTGAGAGCTGTGAGATCTTCGGGTACCATATCCCCAAAGGTGCCACTCTCCTGCTTAATGTTTGGGCCATAGCCCGTGACCCCAAAGAATGGTCCGACCCGTTGGAGTTCATGCCCGAAAGGTTCTTGCCTGGCGGGGAGAAGGCTGGTGTGGATGTTAGGGGCAACGACTTTGAGGTGATCCCATTTGGAGCTGGACGGAGGATATGTGCAGGCATGAATCTTGGGCTTCGAGTGGTCCAGCTTCTGACTGCCACCCTAGCCCATTCATTTGACTGGGAGCTTGCAGATGGGCTCAGCCCACAAAAGCTGAATATGGAAGAGGCTTACGGGCTTACCCTCCAGCGGAAGGTCCCTTTGATGGTTCAACCAAAGCCCCGACTTGCGCCACACCTATACTCTCAATCCACCTAGAGATGACTCGTTACCCGGTTTCGGAAACTAACAAATTTGTATGGGGACATGTTTTTCTGTTGCTTGTATTTCCCTAATCGCTTGTTAAAATTTGTTGTATGATTTGAATAAATTCTTTTTCATTTGCCAATGGCACTTGGGCACTAGAGAAGAGAAGCCCAAAGGTCGTGATGTAATATTCTTTCTCCAATTTATTCATAATTTAGGTGAATGTCTTCGTTGTACCTAGAGTTTCGTTTTTCTTGTTTTATTTTGCTTTGCCTCCCCATGCTTAGAGCTATAAGTAAATTATTATTTGGCTTTAATCAATTTTACATGTGAACCATAACTTGCAATATCTACACTGATAAAAATTAAATGACAGCCACATGAGGGTGACTACTGACTAGCATAGCGAGGATGGGATGGGATATCAATAGGAGTCGAGCTTTCAAATTTTGCAGTTGTAAAGAAAGAAATTAGTACAATATTATATGTATTGACAATCATTATTCATTACATAACCTCAGAACAATGCAATGCATGCAAGGATTGCCGAAACAATGCAGCGAAGGTGTGGCATTTGATGAGATGAGATTTGAATTACATAACCGGCGTGTGTCATTGGGTCAGCGACTGTGGTTGGTGATTTGAAGCCTAGCTATTTGTTTGCGTAACAGCATGAGCATTTTCATACTTGGAGGCAATCGAGTTCCCAAACCTGATTGATGTTCTGCGCATCGCATCTCCAGCTCCAAATCCACTTGTCAAGACTTGAGCCTCCTACAACATGCTCTTCTTCCACCAAGTAGTCAAGAGTGATCGAATGTTCATGCATCCACTCCATTGAATGAGGGACTTGTCATGCTGCCGGTCAGAAAACTTAATTTATCATTTCGATGAAAGAGTTCTAGTAAGGTGACACCATGTCGTTCTGCTCTAAAACAGAAGATACTCCAGTTTATTGAAAATAAAGCCCAGTCTCGTAAGGTTAATGGACCACGCACTGATGCCATGACTGGTGTTATTTAATGTTTATTCATTTGTTATTTTAAAATATCATATGCCTGGGACAACGTGTCCTGATTCTTATCATGTGGAGCACTCTCCACACTGTATATATTGTTATCGAATTGAATATCAATGAACATAATATAATTTTTTCTTCCATTTGCAGTTTTGCACTCTATGCCTCTTCATGGCATCTTGGTCTTGCTAATAGCCGTGAGTCATGACCTTTTTTAGGAACAGAAAGCCCACAAAAATTTGTGCAGAGGACTAGCTACCTAACGTGTAGCTCATCCAATATATCACCAAAAAGTAAAACCATACACTCCACAAGAGTAGCATTTATAATAACTTCTTTATCATTCAGATGGTGACACTAGCGAGCCAACCAATCAGCGAAGCAATTAGATTCCCTATATATGGGTCCAACATGCCAAAAGACAAACTTGATCATTAAATTCTGAACATATAGCATCACCATTTCCTCTTAGAATAAGTGCAAAATGTCGACATATTGAGGTGGTCCGTGAACATGCACATTTTGATAGAATCTCATGAATTCCTCGCACCAAGTCGTTTGCAAGTATTTCTCTCATTAATTATTATCTATACAAATTCATCTTCCCAGCTTCCCTTTGTTGTAGTCCACGCAAGCTTATTTTTACCAGTGTAGACCATGCAAATGAACATTGGAATACACCACTTAAAAAAGCAAATGGGTTTATTCAAATTAAAGCTTTGTTCAAGCACACTTGTTCCTTCAAATCTTTTCCCCTGCTTCGTGCATAGAAGGCAATTAGGTATCTAAAAATATTTACACACTACACAGATCAAATGATGGCTGTCCATTTACAAGTTGTCAAGCAATTACTCCCAGTCAGCGTCAAAGAATCCAGCATCTCTCATCTCGGAGTAATAAGCATTATCCAAAAGGAAGTCTTCCTCCTGCAGCGAGAACCAAGAAATACTAGATATGCTGTTCAAGCTTTATTATAAAGAGGCATCCCTGACTGGGCAATGTCTACCACAATGTTACTGATGGACCACACTCAAAGGAGTTCACCACATAAGACTAGGGGAGTTCCACCGCAAGAAAACAGTATAATTGTGAATATAGTAGTTCATGGGCACTATTGAGTTTGTTTAGGACCAAATTCAAAATTAAACCAAACTGGTTTAATCAGTTTTTGCATAATAGAAGACTCGTTTTTCAGTTCTGATTCAGCTAAGTTTGATTTGCTCTTTTTTACATTATTAATTTTTTCAATGATGCAAGTTTTTTTTCAGTTTTTTCACTTTCAAAAATCTATTTTTTTTCTCAAGTGATATAAGTATTTTTGTTTTATTACAGATTTTATTTTTTAAGTTTTTTTTTATAATAAACCAAAATGTAACTTCTGTAGCATATGGCAAGAAATGATTACCTGGAAAAAATCTTCTAGAAAAGTTACATGCAGAAATGGCAGGTATAGAGAGTGATAACATAATACAGTGAGATCATACATCCTGCAGTAAAGAAGATCCATCCATTCAGGGCAAATTTCATATAAAATATACTATTGACTGCTACTTTTATTGGCAGAGAAGGGATGCGGGATTACCAACTGCCCAAGCCAGTCCCAACTACTGCTAGCCCACAAGCAAACAGGGCAATTGCACTAAAGACAAACATGGCAACAACATAGTTGTAGAATGCTGGTCTGGCTGCAAAAGGTAAAAGAAATTTGTACATCAGAACACACTTGGGGTCGCTTGTAGAGAGTGATTAGAGAGAGAGAGAGAGAGAAGAATGGATGGGTCATGAGAGTGATAAGTTGTAGATCCTGCATACAGTAACATCTTTTTGTGTCACTCTACCTCCTAATGCATAAATGCATGATCAAAGAGGATCTAATTTGATTAGAAAATAGATCTAGTAAAACAATGGTGACAGGACAGCAGAACCAGACACGCACGCACACACTTACGAGGCAGCTTTTCTCTCCATTTAGAGAAATGTACAAACAATATGAAGCCATATGCTGCGGCAAGCAACAATTTGTGGATTATCAACAAACCCCACTTGATCTTATGCGAGCTTCCAACATCACGACTGAACAAAGGGACTCCAAATCCAAAAACATATATTGCCTGATATGAAAGTACTCAATGTAAAAGGTCAAATCACTAAATCAAGTAGTACAACATCACTAGGATATCCTTGATACAAATAAAGCAATAAGCTTCTTCCAACACCCTGACATTATATATTTCCTACTAATGCAAAATCATGTTCATATAGATTAATAATTATGACAAAGTTTGACCAAGAAATTCTAGGCGTGCCTAGCCCCCATCCCCTTATTTACATTCAAGTTGATACTTTGTAATGATTCAAATAGATCTTTCCAAGTGAATTGAAAAATTAAAGTGAATCGTCCAGCAGGCCCTTGTTTCAACCTTTAAAAGAGAACAGAACATGACTCAGATCAGTAAAACCAATAGCACATCAAAAGTGTTCTTCTATTTATGCATCTGGCATGTGGCATGAACAAAATTAGTTTTACAGGTGAGTAATTCCATCAATAATTGGGAGATCAATAGTAGTGATGGAAGAACAAAAGTGATAATCCTATCCACATCTTGCAACTACAAGCCTTAAAATGAAAGATACTAATCTTTTTTAGTCTCCTCAATTAAGGCAATGTTCAAAAGATGCTTTGAGAACGAATTGGACATGCTAATGTTTGAAACACCTCTGTTACTTTTTTTTTTTTTTTAATCTGAATGCATCACATAAATGGGGAAAAATAAATGATCTTGTAAATCATTTGGTGATCCACAGAAAGGTTCTGAAAGTCATTAAAATTACAGCTTCCAAAAACATACATGGCAAAAATTCAACATGCTTATGGGAGATATATGTCACAGACTTAAAAGAAGACAAGGGATACGAGGGCTGCCTATATACATAAAGTGGTTCCATGATATATGAAGTAGAAAAAAGTTTATGTACTTCACTGGGGGCTGAAAATTATGTAGTCAGTTTAAGGATTAGTACTAAAGCCATAATCAAAACTCTACGTGACAGGTACCTTTAGACACAAAGCAGGTAGAAAATGTCTAGTGCATGCATGCGCATCAAATAATGTAAATGAAAGCACGTATAACCTTAAGAAGAGTATCCACAATGACAATGATTCCAGATACAAGGAAAGTATGCGCCAGAGTTTCAATCCCATTCATATAATTATCCTTGAGAAGAAAAGCCATCATGCTTATCTCCAAACAAAGTATTCCCGATGCTGTCAATAATGACAGGAGATTCCATGTAACATCCTTGCCTGGAGAGCACTGCCATGCCTGCTTAAACAAGAAAGAAGTTGTAGTTGAAAACTCTTTTAGAGTCAATAACAGCACACATGCAAAGCCTGAAACCAACTGATGGGGAAATGAGTGGGTAATTTTCCATATTGCCGATGAAACACGAACGCAAGTCTTGCTATACGTTTAGCATCTCCACTTAAATAACGTGAACTCTTCCTTGAAATAACAAAATAACACTACAATTAAGTGAATGACGAAGACAAAAATATGTTTTAATAACATATGCAAATCCAATGGAGGGCAATTTTTAAATTCAATGTTGGAAATTCAGGAGATGATCAAATACACATTCAAAAGTTCCTTAGAAACTGCAGCAAACATATAGTTGCAAAACCTTATTCCATAAATAGTCATAGCACTAAAAACCCCTAGCTATCAACAATTCGCAGAATTCACTCAGCCACCTCGGACCTTTCAGATCCAAATCTAAACGTCCATCTAACATATGAACGCGTAACGTATTGTCTTAATTTCAAATGTCAGCAACGGGGATCATATTTGTCATTAAAAAAAAAAAAAAAAAAAAACTATTCAACAAGCTTGATTTTACAATCCAAGGTCCTAAATCTTTATTACTTTAATTTGTTTTGCATGACTTCACATCCAAACCCCCGCTCTTAATGGAAGTGATGGTATGATATGTAGCATCTCAAGTTCTCGCGCCCAAAGGGGGGGAAACATTGGGGAGGTCAAAAATATAGTTTCCCCACTATTTTATTCCGTTTATCACAAAATTAGCCGCACCAAGGAACACAAGAATTTGCTAAGCATACCTGAAAGAAACACCAAGCGATGTTTAAAAGAGTAGCAGCCCAAAGCAGAGCATAACAGGATTTCATCACATAAGATCCTCCATTACAAAGTTTCTTCA